GACAGGATGAGAGGTGAGACAGTGGTCCAAGGCCTTGGACCGCGGGACATCCCTGAAGGCTGCTGCCAACCCAGGGTTTCTGAGGCCCACCCTTTGGAGCTAGCAATGCTAGGGGAGTGAGAGCAATTGGGATTTCCCAAGCACCTAACAGGAACAAGGCCTAGAATGGGGCTGTGAGGAATGTGGTGATGTTCGCAAAACTAGGCCTGCCTTCGAGAAGCTTGCAATCCAGAGGGGGGGCATTTTTCCTGTTGGCCATTAGCTTCATGAAACTGTATTTAACTGCACAAGGAGGTCTGTGATGAAAGCCTGAATAATAGGCGCTCGAGGGGCTCAGAGGATACATAATGTCAGAGAGAAATGTTCAGTGATGGTAGTGTTCAGAAAAGAAAAAAAAGATCAGATTTGAGGTGGAAGGATGAGGCTGTTAGGAAGAGGAGGGGAGTCAGGACAGGGTGGGTAGGGAGGAACTAGAGGATGTGGGCAGGACCACCCTCCTGGAGAGGAGGGTTGACGAGGACAAAACCGGTGGGAGAGAAGGAGCGTGGAGCCACGTGGCTGGTGCCCACGGCCGACCCGCACACCAGGAGGAGGTGGGTAGACAGCCCTGGGGGCAGTAGGAAAGCATCCAGCAAGTCATAATGAAAGGAGCTTTCGAAAGCGTTCCGAGGCTCCCCAGAAAGAACAGGGGCCTCCAGGCTCAGTCTCTTAAGATGCGATGACAGGGTCACGGCCCTGGGGTGCCCTGTGAATGCCACGGCCAGAGTTTCTTTGAATTTTGGAGAAAGCTTTTGACAAAAATCTGTGTGGCTAGCCAGACGGACAGAATGGAGAAAGGTGGGCTGGTGAGTCGACAGTGAATGGATTTGAGGCCATGGCCAGCCGCACCTGAAGCGGGAGGAGCTGACCCAGATGGAGGAGCCCAGCCCTGGGTCCGGGCCTGCCCTGACTTTGTCCATCACTGTTCTGTGTGAAGACAAAGATTTTGCTAATCAAATCTGAAAATGACAGGTAGCAAATACACTGGATAACAGAACTAGTGTTCTAAGTCTCAGAAGGATGGGCTGAAACTAACAGGATAACATTTAAGTAAAGAGAAACATTCTCTCTTAATCTGGCATTGTCTGGACTCACAAGTATAGCTCAGGTAAGGCCCGGCTACTCAGGCGGCTAATGTAGCTAAAAACTTTATAACTGGTAAGTAATAAACTCATACAAATTGTTACTCACCTGAAAAAGATCCAGGAATTTTGATATAAGCCAGAAGTGCCTTGCTCCTGACAGAAGAGCTTATAAACACGAAGCAGCCAAAATAATGGGAGTAATGGCTCAAGGGTGATATTAAAAATATTTCGTAACTGGTGTGCCCTTCACCTACCTACCAGCCAGAAAATAGCTCATTGAAGCGAGCATTTACCTGCTTGCTGGAATTTACCTTTAATTGCAGAGTTATGGGGAAGATCATGCATAGGGAGCCCCTAGGAACGAGAACGGAGGGAGAGAGCAGCAGCTATTAAAATGTCACTATTTTATTACGGCCCATAGGTCCATATGGGGGCCTACTGGCTGACTGTCAACCTGGTAATAACACCTGATACACTCCACTGATAATCTTACCTGGGACGTGGGGTTCAGTGGAGGCCAGTTCATCTTCAGAAGAAATATTGACAAACCAGTGCACATCGGGGGTCAGGGCAGGGGTGAGCAGAGTTGGGAAGTAGGGAAGTCCTGGTGATTATATCAGGTGAGGTGTGGAGGAAGGAACTAGGGCGGTTTCCTCTGGGGAAGACGAGGCTCAGACATGTGAAGGACTGCCACATGGGAGGCATAGCAGATCGAGTCTTAACAACCCAGGAGACAGACCTGGGACCACGGGATGGAAGCAAGATGTGCTCAGATTCTGGCTTAATGAGAAGACTTTGTAATGAGGACTACCTGAGGATGGAGACTTGTGAGGCAGTGACCCCCACTGCCGCCCTGCTCTGGGAAGTTGAGTCTGAGGCTGGGTACCAGCTCCCGTGAATGCCAAGCTGACTAGGACGACAGGAGGGACAGGCTGGACCAGATCCCTTCGGAGTCCTTCACATCCTCCACACATAACCTGGGGGGTGGGACGCGGAATGGACCAGCGGGGCAGGACTAGGTGTATCCGGAATGTCAGGGAGAGAAAATGGGGAGGAATTCAGCCTTCCAGCTCTTTTGCCCTGGCGCACACCAGGATCGCTGGTGGGATGGTGGCTGACCGGTCCACAGCAGCGAGTGTCTAACCTTGGTGCTGGGGACCTCCCTCATCGGCCTGGGACCGCTCCGCCTAGAGCCGAGGAGAAGTGTAGGGGCAGGGGGACCCCCGGGCCCAGCCCCAGCCTGGTTTCTTTAAAAGTGGGGGAGGGGGCTGGGGAGAGCTGCCTTGGGGGCCAGGCTTCCCTCGGGGTGGAGGTGGTTTCTCTGGCAGGTGCAGCTCCGGGTGGGTGGGAGGGGATGGAAGGGTTGGGAGTCCCGGGGCATCTCACCGGCTCCTCTCCTCGCTCCGGCTGTTCCCTCGGCCCTCAGACATGGAGTCAGAGCTGCTTCGGGGGAGCCAGGCCATCGTGCTCCGCTCGGCGGACCTGACGGGGCTGGAGCAGCGCGTGGAGCAGATTCGGAACCACATCAACGGGCGCGTGCTCTACTACGCCACCTGCAAGTGATGCGGGACCCGGCCCGCCGCCCCCGCGTCTGCCCTCTCTGCTCCCGGGCCCGGCTGGCTGGCCAGACGTTCCAGCTCCAGGGGACTCTTATGCAGCCTAAAGCACAGCCGGGACCACCCCCTCTGGGGTGAGCTGAGCCGGGGCTGGTGGGGCGGCTACAGCTGGGGGACGGCGACCGTGGAGGCGGGCCTGCATCACTGACCAGCAGCTCTCGAGTGCGGGGTGCTTGGCTGGGCAGTGTCTTTGCCCTTCTTTCTCCACTGAGGCTGAAGGCCTGGGCCCACTCAGAGTTGTAACTAAAAATGATGCACAAGGGAAAAGTCCAATAAAAATCTTGGGAAAGGAGCCTGGAAGTCCAAAGAGGGGAACTTTTCTGTCTCCCTGTGACGTAAAGCTTTCTCACTTGTTTCTGTCTCCGGTCTGGGGTCCCTGCGTGCTCCCCAGCTCAAGCCCAAGGCCTGGTGGTGTATGAAGCGCCAGCTGACCCCGTCTGCCCAGTCTACCTGAGGCACCACCCAGACGTGGGGAGACGGGGCCCCTCTGCTCCAGGAACTGGTTGAACTCCTTCCTTGAGAGGCCAGAGGAGCCATTTCCATCTTTGAACAACCATCCAGTTTCTCATTTGTAGATGAAGAAATAGAAACCCAGACACGGGGAGGAAGTTGTTTGAAATCACATAGCTCCGAGAGGCAGAACTAAGACTAGACTTTGTGTCTCTTGGGATTTTAAAAAGAAGCTGTAAACGGGTGTGCGTGTGCGTGTGTGTTCGTGTTGGCAGATATGCGAATGGCACGAATATTTGTGTGTTAACTGTGGTCTAGGCACCATGCTAGCATTTTATCTACAGTAACTTCTTGGTCGTTATTGATCACAGTAATTATTCAGGGAGTATGTGCATTATCTTATGCCATGGGTGGCACTGTTGTTCCCACTTGATAGGTGAGGAAACCAAGGTACCAGAGGCTCGGGGACTCCACCAGGGTCACAGATGTGGCTGGCAGGGCCGAGTGGGGCCTCAGACCCATGTTCATGTTACGGGCATTAGGAGGATGCTGGGGCCGGGCTGTCCGGGTTCCAATGGTGCCTACCTCCAAGGGGCTGCTGGAGAGGAAGCTGAGTTGATGTGTGTAGCTCACGACACGAGGCACTGGGCCCACCCCCAGAGCTCCTGCCCTCCCGAGTCCGGCCTGACCTCCAACTCTCATGCATCTTCCACTCTGCAGGGCCCAGAAGCCCCTGAGCTGCTTGTGACTTAGAGAAGGACCGAAAGAAGCCTCATAGAGAAAAATATGTCCATTTTATTCAGCACAACACAGAGCAGGAAGCCAGAGGGCTGGAGAACAAGAGAACAGGGCCGGGACGAGAACAATGTGCCTGGTTTTCAGGGAGAGAAGGGAGCATAAGCAGGATTTGAATGACTGGCTGAAAGTGCAACAGTCAACTTCCAATTTTTACTTAATTGAATGTGTGTGTGTGTGTGTGTGTGTGCGTGTGTGTGTGGAGGGCATCCAGCCAGGATAAAAAGTGCTTACAGTACCTGGTGGTTGGTTTCTTTCTGTTGCATCTTGGAGGGTGTGGTACTGCTTTTGGACAGGGGTGGAGGCATAGGTGGATCAGAAGTGCAGAGGGTTGGGAGCCGTCCCGGAGTTAGGGAGTTGGAAGGTGAACTCCGAGAGCTCACAGGCAGGCTTGCGATGCTGCCTGTCACTCATGCAGATGGGCAGGCCTCTCCATCAAGGAGAGGCAGGAGCGAGTGTGTGCTGAGTGGGGAGGCTAGGTAGCTGCTCCATATGGCTTTGCTCGGAGATGGCAACACAGATGGGCCAGCCCATTAAGCTTTTCACGACGACACAGACCTGGGCACGAGCTATCTACGCACCCTGCGCAGAGCCACCCTGGCGGGTGGGCGTGTCGGGGTGGGGGGCACGGAGCAGGCAGGCCCGCGAGGATGCTGCTCCTCCTGCCTGCAGCTTCCCGAAGCTCCACCGCGCCCGGGGCTCACTCCCGGGCCTTCGGGGAGGCTCTGCCCTGGGCGGCAGCCGGCTGCTGCGTCTGATCAGGTCTTGGTTTGCTTGCTGTCCCTCCCTCCCACCTCAAGGTAGACTCCAGGTCTGGAAGGGTGGAGAAGAGTTGTGTATCTCTCCTGCAGAGGAAAGGAGTTGAGGGTTGGGGTTGGGGGGTGCTGCTGCCTCTAGTATCCCTTGTCCCCCATTGTGGAGACTCTGGGGCAGGGCTGTCCCGTGATCTTGCAGCCTTCCTCCCTCTAGTCCCCTCACCTGAAAACTGTAGTGAGACAGACGCGGGCCCCAGGGATCACATGATGAGACAGACTCCAGTCTGCCCCACCCGGCAGTGGGAGCTGCCGCCGGCTTTCACTGGTACCATCACTTCTGATTTGAAGTTTCTGGAAAGGTAATGTTGCAGCAGGCTATGGAGTATTTGGGGAAGGAAGAAGGGCTATGCCTGTGACAGCCACTCAGACCTCCCTTCATGAGGTGCAGAAAGTATAAACCTTTACAGAGGAAACGGATGAGATAACCAAGCCCCCTAGTCCTCCCAAAGCACAGTGTCCCTGGAATCTACTGCCCGCCACTCGCATGTATCCACTTTCCTGCAGGCGTTTATAGTCCCTGATGCCTCACTAAACTCTGACAGCAACACTGTAAGGCTTCCCTGGTGGTTCAGAAGGCAAAGAATTTGCCTGCAATGCAGGGTTCAATCTGTAGGATGGGAAGACTCCCTGGAGAAGAGAATGGGTACCCACTCTGGTATTCTGGCCTGGAGAATCCCATGGACAGAGGAGCCCAACAGGCTACCGTCCATGGGGTCGCAAAGAGTCAGACACGACTGAGCGACTTTCACTTTTCCTGTAGGGTAGACGGAGCAGGTGTGACCCAATCAAACCATTTTACAGACACGCGAGCTAGAGACAGAGGTACAGGTGGACACATCCAATCAGACCATTTCACAGACAGGAGAGCTAGAGACGGAGGTACAGGCAGACACGTCCAATCAGACCATTCCACAGACAGGCGAGCTAGAGACGGAGGTACAGGCGGACACGTCCAATCAGACCATTTCACAGACACGCGAGCTAGAGACGGAGGTACAGGCGGACACGTCCAATCAGACCATTTCACAGACACGCGAGCTAGAGACGGAGGTACAGGAGGACACGTCCAATCAGACCATTTCACAGACACGCGAGCTAGAGACGGAGGTACAGGTGGACACGTCCAATCAGACCATTCCACAGACATGCGAGCTAGAGACAGAGGTACAGGCGGACACGTCCAATCAGACCATTTCACAGACAGGCGAGCTAGAGACAGAGGTACAGGAGGACACATCCAATCAGACCATTCCACAGACAGGCGAGCTAGAGACAGAGGTACAGGCAGACATGTCGGTGGCCACACAGCTGGTGAGGGGTGGGGACCGGGCTGGGAGCACCTCCCTCAACCCCCGACTTCCAGAGCTTTTCTACACCATGCAGCTGCTTCCGAGTGGGAGAGGCTCCCGGGTCTCTTTCTTTTCGCTCCCTTGCCCTGAGTTCTTTCAGCCCCAGGTTGAGCAGGGCTAAGCCTGTGGCTGGAAATACGTACTGTTTTTTGTTGGCTTTTTTGAGGAGCGTGGGCTCGGAGCAGTAGGACGCGCTCGCTTTGGTCCCGACGTTCGTGCAGCTGGAGCAGCAGCCACATGGCCCGACGGCCAGGGGCCCCTGCTGCATCGGCACCAAGCTGCTGCTGATGCGGAGGGACCCGTTGACCAGGCAGTTGAGGGACCTGCCCCCGGGGGCCGCGGGCTGGGGGCCGTGCCGGCAGGGCAGTCGGGTCGGCGTGGGGACGGCCGTGCTCGGGCCCGGGGCGGCGGGAGTCTCGGTGATGGTGATCTCTGGGGAGGTGGGTCTCGAGGCTGCAGGGATGGGTGGCCTGTTCTCCACTTCGGGCCTGACCCCCGGGCTGTGCAGGTTCATGTGGAGCTTCCGCATGTGGTGGACCACGGCTGCTGCGTTGAAGGCTTGCTGGGGAGACACGAGACCCATCTCTGACCGTTTCCACCCCAGACGGCCTCCAGCCTTCCCTCTGCCTCGTGGACTCTTGAAACCAACGTGCACACCTCTCATTTCACGGAAGGGTCCAGGGAGCTCCAGAGTCTGCTGGGAGAACCCCAAGGAAAGCCCCCCGCCCCAGCTGCCCCAGCCCAGCCTCCAGGGCCCAGATGGCCCGCTCGCCTCCTGGAGAGGACAACTCACCCTCCACTTGCTCTTGGCGAAGTTCTTCTGGATCTGGAGGCTGACTGATGGGTAGATGTCCCGGTGCAGGGCTGTATTTCCGTTAATCCTGTGGATGTGGAGGGGACATCTGGCTAGTGGTGGTGATGGGGACTCTGTCAGGGGTTGGGCAGGGGCTGGGCATCCAGGGTAAGCTGCCTGGAGTTCCCTGAGTCAAGGACTGGAACCCCCTGGACAGGTCATAGGGGGCCTATGTTTTAGAAGGGCTTCCTAGGTAGCTCAGATAGTAAAGAATCTGCCTGCAAAGCAGGAGACCCGGGTTTGATCCCCAGGTCAGGAAGATCCCCTGGAGAAGAAAATGGCTACCCACTCTAGTATTTTTGCCTGGAGAATTCCATGGACAGAGGAGCCTGCCAGGCTGCAGTCTATGTGGTCTCAAAAAGTTGAACATGACTGAGCAATTAACACTAGTGTTACTATGCTTTAGAAACTTGCTTTTGAGCTGGGTGGGCAACCTATAGCCTGTGGACCAAACCTACTCATCACCTGCTTTTTAAGTAAAGTCTCTCTGTGACACAGACATGCCCATTCATTCAGCTATGGGCTATACTGCGTCCATGCTGCGACGACGGGCAGATTGAGTAGTTGCCATGGAAACGATATGTCCAGTGAAGCCTAAAACACTTACTATCTGGCATTTTACAGAAATAAAAGTTTACTGATACCCCATTCCTCACTCCTGGCCCAGTGTCAGAGGGCTGTTACTATTCTTTGACTCTAAACTTTGCACAGAAACCACCTCCTCTCGGAACCTTTCCTCTATGAGGCCACCCCCACAGAGGCTGCCTGTTCCCTGTCCCCCGAGCCTCTTATCCATCCATCTCTAAATGTCCTCAGACACTTGCCGTGTGAACAGTACTTTCTAGATACTAAGGGACTCGGAGAGTTAACAGATGTGGCCCTGATCACTGGGGGCTTAGAGTACAGGCTGGAAGCCTTGTTTCACGCCATGAACTAGAGTAATTCATGGCGAGGTGTGTAATTGTTAGAGAAAGATGGGAAAGTCTGTCTGGACTGCAGGACCCAGGGCTTCAGAGGAGGATGGACATGGCTCTTGATCCTGAAGGATGTACATCCAAGGCAGGGCCCTTGAGGTGGTGAACATGGTGTGACCCAAGGTGAAACGTGGAAAGAGCTTGGTATGGGAGAGGGCAGGAGGAAAATACAGCCATTAGGCCTTTCTGGAATAGAGAAGGTGTGTTGGGAACCCTGAGAAATGAAGTTGGAGGTGACAGGCCAGGCCAGATTAGGGAAAACCATGGCTTGCTGCAGTAGGAACTGGGGAGCTTGTAAATTTTCCCAGCAGGGGGATAGCACAAAAAAGGGAAGTGTTTCAAGACTTTCTTTGCCTGCTTTGTGTGTGTGTGTGTGTGTGTGTGTGTGTTAAGCCGCTTCAGTCATGTTCGACCCTTTGAGACCCTATGGATTGTAGCCTGCTGGGTTCCTCTGTCCATGGGACTCTCCAGGCAAGAAAACTGACGTGGGTTGCCAAGGCCTCCTCTAGGGGATCTTCCTGAGCCAGGATCGAACCTCCATCTCTTGCATCTCCTGTATTGGCAGGCAGTTTCTTTACCACCAGCGCCACCTGGGAAGCCCCGTACCTGCTTTAGCAATTGGTTGCTTGGTGATTGCTCTCAAAGCACCTCGCATGGAGCAGGCTTTGACCCCAGAGTGAGATGATGCTCTTAAGGAGAGTAAAGTTGGCTAGCTGGCTGCATCTGCTTCCTGATTTGATGAGCCAGCTGCTACTGTTGGGTCAGAATCCACCTCAATAAATGCTCTTTACATCTGGGGCTCAATCTGATCTGTGCCCTTCGGGTGCCACACTGGTAAACAGCTCAGGGCAAGCAGACTCCAGGGAAACGCGCTGTGAAAAAGTCAGCGTGGTGTCTGGGGAGCAACAGTGAGGGTCTGGGGTCACTCACTCACTCACCAGGGGTGCCTCAGGGCCTTCTCACAGCTGTACCGCTCATCCGGATCCTTCTCCAGCAAGTGGCAAATAAAATCCTTGGCTGTGGGGAGCAATCAAAGACACAGCAGCTGAGGACCAGATCTCATGACTGATGGAGACTCACTTCCAGGCTGGTGGGCGGCACGGGAGGCATCTTTAGCTCATCTTCCAAAGAGGCAATTTTAAGAGTCTTGAAAGAGAAAAAGAATCCAAACCACCAAGCAACAACCCACCCGAAACCACCAGAGCGGCTCCACGCAGCCGTGTCACCCACACGCAGCACCGCAGACACATCTCTGGTCACGAGGCGCCCATGTGCCTGACGCCACGCGGGGGCCCGCCTGCACCAGTTAGGGGCCAGCACCACACATGGGCACACGCGTGAATGCTGGCTTAGCTCTGATCCCCACTTAAATGGACCCAAGGACAAATACTGACGGCCTTCGCTCAACAGACCATGCAGGCTCTCGGGCTGGACAGGTGAAAGCAAAACTCGGCCTTGGTTTTGCCCCTCCTGCCTGGAACACACACCTGTGCTTGTTCTGCCCTCCTGGCCCCTCGTCTGAAGTACCTCCCTGCTTTTCCAGGCATCCCACGGTCCTGCCTCCAGGAAAACAAAAGCAGGGACCTTAGATGCGAATCATTTATTTGGCCTTTGAACCAGATAAAGATTTCTCCACTTTCCTTGGCAGCCTGTTCCATCAGATTCCCCAGGGCCTGCCAAGAGCCAGGACTGTCATCCTTTGTTAAGCTCGCTTCTCTTGGCAGCCTCTGCCTTGAGCCTGTTATTTTGTCTTTCCCTCGGACTGGTCTTACCTGACTCAGAAATGTCATCCCAGAATGGAGATTCAAACTCATAGTAGCCTTCCTTGATCTTCTCAAACAACTTAGACTCAGTTTCCTCGTAGAAGGGGGGGTACCCGCACAGCCTGTAGTGGAACAGCAAGGCACATGCTGCCGAAGGACCCCATCCTGGGCTAGCCGCTCCCCTCTGCCCAGCCTCCACTATATACACAGGCAGGCAATGAGGGGCCCCAGTCAGCAGTGTGATCAGTACCTGGGTCTGCCCCTGATTCACGAATGATGCGTGCATGTGCTAAGTTGCTTCAGTCATGTCCAACTGATGCAGGAACGATGCAGGTTCTATCAAATGTTTATTCGGGAACCGAAGTTTGGAACAGGTGGCCCTTTGTGCATTCTATCCCCCAAACCCTCACGTTCTCCCTTCCCCTGACTCTTGCATGTGTACAAAGTCGCTTCAGTTGTGTCCAACTCTTTGCGACTCTATGAACTGGAGCCCACCAGGCTCCTCTGTCCATGGGATGGGATTCTCCACCCAAGAATACTGGAGTGGATTGCCATGTCCTCCTCCAGGCAGTCTTCCTGACCCAGAGATCGAACCCGCGTCTCCTGCGGCTCCTGCATTGCAGGGGTATTCTCTACCTCTGTGTCACTGGGGAAGCCCCCCTGACTCTTGAAAAGCGAAAGTGTTAGTTGCTCAGTCGTGTCTAACTCTTTGCGATCCCATAGACTGTAGCCCACAGGCTGCTCTGTCCATGGGATTCTCCAGGCAAGAATACTGGAGTGGGTTGCCATTCCCTTCTCCAGGGGGTATTTCCAACCCAGGAATAGATCCCAGGTCTCCTGCATTGCAGGCAGATTCTTTACCATTTGAACCACCAGGGAACCCTGACTCTTTAGATAACGTATCAGTTGAGTATCTTTAAGAAGGATGGTAGAAATGTCTACTTGAATGTAACTTTCCTGAGGGATTTTTTTAGGCTGTTTGGTTCTTCATTCTTTAGAACCTAAACCACTGCTTGGCACAGAGGAGACAGCCAATGGGAATTTGTTCAGTAGCTCATCGAAGAGAAGAGTTATTCAACATACGTTGAGGAAGTAGAGAAATGCATCCACACTGAGGAGGAAATGATTAATTTCACGTTATTTTTCAAGAGCAAAGTTCGCTATCAGTGAGAAGGGGTGCTGGGCCGGGGGTGGTGAGCAGATTGGGGAAGGAGAGCCTGAGAATGTGAGCAGTGACTAGGTTTATCCAGGCCATCCTTTTGCTTTGGGCTGGCGTTACCAGGAGAGAAACCTGAGACGCGAACATTGTGCCCACTTGGCTTCTAAGTTTAGGATGTCTTCTCCCTCCTTAACTGCTCATTCCATAGAGTGGGACTCAGTACGTTTATATACAGTAAACGGGGGTGGGATGCAGAAAGCGGGAGTGCCACATAAGAACTCTGTTTTTATAACCGGGTGGAGATCAGGACAAGATCCTCTGGAGCTGTGTGCATGAGTAAGTGTGTGTGTGTGTGTGTGTGTGAATGCACGTGTACATGCACATGCTTTGGAGGTGGATGCTGCTTGAGGTGCTGAGATGGGGAGGAGAGAAGAAAGGGTGAGTAGGCTCTGAGATTCCTCAGGAACTGAGCCAACGCCAGCTTCTACTCACAATATGTAAGTGATGACGCCGATGGACCAGCAATCCACAGCCTTGCTGTAGGGTTTCTGGGCCAGCACTTCTGGAGCTGCAGTAAACCGAAGGAAGAGTCAGGGGTGAAGGATGAGTGTCAAGGGTCAGGAAGAGGCTTAGAGAAGAGCACTAGGGTGGCACCTGGGATGGTGTTGATGTTTAAGACTAGGCATTCTCCTAGGACAGAGACGGTGTCTCTCCCAGCAGGCTAAATCTTTCTCCAGTACACTGGGAGGTCCCGTGACAGGGCCCATGACTCCTCCATCAGACTGGGGATCTCCGGGGCTAGGTTTCCTGCTTTAGACTGATCTGGAGGCAGGGCCTGTAGCTTTCCACTCAGATGGGAGACCCCCAGGGCAGGGATCCTTAGACAGGGAAATCTGCAAGGTAAGGACTTTTTCCTCTCATGAGATTGGGATCTCCCTGAAAACAGAAGTTCCCGTTAATTGAGGAGCTTCCAGAGGGCAGGTGGGAACTGTCCCATCAGTCTCTGTTACCTCCTGAGGGCAGGCCTCAGTCTTCCCCATCAGCCCAAGAGCTCCATGAGGGAATGGCCATGTCTTCCTCTGACTGGCAGCTCCGGGGCAAGAGTGAGCTGCCTTCGGTATTTATCCCAGATACCAGGGATTTGTATCCTGTGGACTCAAAACCTGTTGTTAACTAACCAGCCTCTCTTCTGGGGAGAGAGAAGATTCCCTCTGTTGAGTCAGGGTTATACTTCCCACTCGCAGCCCCACCCAGGTGACGAGTGAAGGGGCAGAGAGAAGGGGCAGACGTGGGTCCTCTGAGCTTTGGCTTTCTCCTTCCGAGAGCCCAGGAATGCTCTCTCCTGGTGCCCCGCCTGTTGTCCCCTTTTCGGGGGCCCTGGAAGCCCACAGAGCTATGAGGGAGGGGGCCCCACTTGTGCCAGTTTCCTAGGGTATGTCCTTGGGTGTATATTTGGGTGCCCATATTTAAGTTCCTCAGATTCAAACTCAACACTGCACCTCCAGAATACCAGTAGTTGGGGCGGGGGCGCTGAGGTCTCCTCCAGACTGGGAGAAAGGAGAGAGTGGGGCTACTGGCCAACCCCTCTGCAATCTACTGATCTCTGGATTTGCAATCTTTTTTCTATCCCTGGTCTAGGTGGAAAAACAAGAGCAGGAAGCCTTGCTGCAAAAATGAGAGCCAAAGTATAGACGGGGCAGTGGGAAGGCTCAGCGGTAGGATGTCTTTAAATGATGTAGGGTTTGGGAGCAGGTGGAGGAGCTTCAGATAGAAAGTGAAAGTGAAAGCCACTCAGTCATGTCTGACTCTTTGTGACCCCATGGATTATACAGTCCATGGAATTTTCCAGGCCAGAATACTGGAGTGGGTAGCTGTTCCTTTCATCAGGGGACTTTTCAACCCAGGGATCAAACCTGGGTCTCCCGCATTGCAGGTGGATTCCTTACCAGCTGAGCCACCAAGGAAGCCCAAGAATACAGGAGTGGGCAGCCCATTCCTTCTCCAGGGGATCTTCCCAACCCAGGAATCGAACTGGGGTCTTCTGCATGGCAGGCGGATTCTTTACCAACTGAGCTACTCAAACCTTAGACCAGATAGATTGGGTGGCCCTAAACCTCACATGTGACTGCTGTACTAGGATCACCACTGTCTCCTCACAGCAGTTTTTTCTGTGAGTAATATCCATGTGGAGGAATGTAGCCAACTGGTCAACCTCCCTTCTGTCCCTAGACTCACCCACATAGCCTGGGGTCCCGCAGGCAGTGGACATGACACCACTCTGCTCCATCTTGGAGAGACCAAAGTCTGTGATCATGATCTTAGAATTCTCCTCAGGGGTGAGGTACAGGAGGTTTTCAGGCTGTGAGGGAAGAGAAATATCATGTAATGTAGGATACAATCACCTGAAACATGCATTTCTTTCCTTTCCACAATACATAATTTCTTAGGAAGCCGCACGCTGGGCTCCTGATTTTTAAGGCCAGACTTATTTCCCTCCATTTTTCCTATCTTCTTCCTACCTGGACCTTCATTCACCATAACTCAGCAACTTGTATTTTGGTTTTGGCCCTGACTTTACTTAGCTTTATAGCTATTGATATACTAACCCTTCCTTCTTCTCATCCCCAACTACCCCAAAATTGTTTTGTTCTTTGAGGAAACCAACCCTTATTTTGTCTGATCTCTCTAAACTCTGGTGCATGTCTGGTGTGATGTTGACTCTCAGTATTCAAGGCTGTGTTCAAGGAATAGCATGGATTATCTTGGTAACCTAGTAGGGTGAGGATAGTGAAAATCAGAAAAAGGCTGAGGTGCAAATTAACAATGATTGTTCAGTCACCTGAGATTTGTTTCAGAATCTGAGAGTGAAAGGGACCTTAGGGGTCATCTGGCCCAACTCTCTTGTTTTACAGAGCTTAGACTGCCCACGACTCACGCAGCTTCCCAAAGAATCACTCCGTGTTTCCCCGAGGGCCCCATCTCAGCACCTTTAAGTCTCTGTGGACGATGCCGTTCTCGTGGAGGTATTTCACAGCTGACAACACCTGCTGGATGACCAGGCTGGCATCCTTCTCTGTGTAGACACCCCGTTCCAGAATCCGGTCAAAGAGCTCCCCGCCAGAGACACTGTGGACACAGGGCAAGTGCAGGAATCCAGTCCTTATTTCAAGTCAAAGGGACATGAATGCCTTTATTCTGGAGCTCTGGGGACAGAGAGCTCGTTGATGGAGTAGGCAGGGTTCCACGCACCACCATTCAAGGGGTGCAGGGGGAACCACTCCCATCTCAGGATACATCCTTTGAGTACCTGAAGTGCTATCACTAGCAGTCATTTCTTTTCGCCAACCATTGACCTGTCTATGGAAACTTTTTTTTTTAGATGCAGAATACCACTGTTGAGGGTTTTGCAAGAAGTCAATTTTCAACTAATATAACATTGTAAATCAACTATATTCCAATCATTGCTTCCTGTGGACATATTTCACAGCTGCCTTCTTTCCTGGCCTGGGACATAAGAAGCCATGATGAAAGGGAGAAGTGAAGCTGAAATCAGACAAAGCAGAAAAGAGAAGGATGAGGCTAACTGGGCTTCTGCCAGGGTTTCTTTCCTCATTTTGGAAAATTGAGTTACCTAAAGCTGAAATTATGAGGTGGAGTCATAGTAGTGTTTTTAGGCTCACACGGTACAGTGTCTGAGGGTTCACAGGAGCTTTAGGATCAAGTCCGACCCTCACGTCTTGGATATTCTCTAAACTACTTTTGCCAAGTTTTCTGTCAGTACCGGAACACGTCAGTGGCAGAGAATTCCCTCCCTCCTAAGACAGATTGTTTTATTTTTTGTCATTTTCTTAATATTTCTGTGTATTATGATGGAAACTGACTCCCTGCAGCTTCTGCAAGTGACATTGCTTGTGGATATCTACACACGACAGCCCCATGCAGCAATAAGGGAGCAGAAGTTTCTCTAATGAAAATGCACACCACCCTATTTTTGTTTCTCCCTGGAGCTCTGGGTCCTGTTGTGGGAGCTGGAGGCTCATGAAAAAGACACTCTTTGTGCATGACTATGAATTCCTGACTCATAGCAGCCTGGGTCCTGGAGCTGGTGCTCTGGAAGCCTTGACGGTACTTTGTGCATCCATGCGTGCTTGATCATGTCTGACTCTTTACCCTGTAGCCTGCTAGGCTCCTCTGTCCATGGGATTTTTCTAGCAAAAATGCTGGAGTGGGTCATCACTTCCTCCTCCAGGGATTGAACCTGTGTCTCCTGTATTGGCAGACAGATGCTTTAGCACTTGAGCCACCTGGGAAGCCCTTGACAGTACTTTGATGACATCTAAACCTGTCCACCCTCCCACCTGGTGACTGTGTGCTCATTCTGTTGACTTGATCTTATTAAGGTGCCCCCTGACCCCTGATCACTTGTTGGGTCCCTCTAAGCTCACTCCCTTGGCTGCTTGCTACCACTATTCACTGGGCCTCATGTGAATCCAGGAGTTAATAGCCTGAGTAGACTCATTAAAATTCCCCAGGGAATCAGCCTATTCATTAAAAAGATTGCACCCACCTTTGCTGAGATTGCAGGGTTAGTGTATATATATGTGTGAGTGTGTGTGTGTGTGTGTGTGTACCTTATACACAGAAGCATCTCTGAACCTAAGGATGAGCCCTCGGGGCACTGACCAGCCCTCCATCAGTCACTCTCAGGCATAGCTCTCATCTGGATGTCACCATCACATGGACACCTTTGCAATGTGGCACCATTTCTGTCCAACATGTGGACACACACACAGTCTCAGCTTATTTTTAACACTGCGTGGCTCTCTTTTGAGAAAGTCATTCTTTCTATTGAATTGCTGTCTATCTACTTATGGCTTCTACTTTCATGGTAATTTTACCCTGGAGTGGCGCTAAAAGACTTAATACTCAGTTTAGAGGACATGGGGGCTTCCCGGTGGCTCAAACGGTAAAGAATTGGTCTGCAATGCAGTAGACTCACGTTTGATCCCTGCGTTGGGAAGACTCCCTGGAGAAGGGAAAGGTTACCCACTCCAGGATCCTTGCCTGGGGAATTCCATGGACAGAGGAGCCTGGCGGGCCACAGTCCATGGGGTCGCAAAGAGTTGGATACAACTGAGTGACTAACACTTTCACTTCACTTTCTTTAGAGAACATGGACTGATGGGTCAAAATGGACTCAAGCCACGGTGAGAGAGGAAGGTTCTGGAGGCTTCCTGCTATGCTGGGCATTAACCTTCCGATCGTAGGGTTGTGAGGCGGTCCAGAAAGTCTGAGAGGCATAAGGAAGCAGGGAAGGATGGACATGTTAGGGCTACAGCCATTTACAGTCTGGCATTTCAACAAGTGGTGAGGCTACACTGGTACATCCCAACTCAAATATCAGCCCTAGTTTCAACCCTCGGTCCACTCAGAACACGTCCACAACCAGAAAGAACTCTTGGCACTTCAGAGCCTCTTGAACTAATTCTTGACTTGGCTTTTAATCACCATCCTTCCCTTACCACCGACAGGCCTCTCCGAGGCCTCTAAGGTCACACCAGACACGTGTGGAGGAAGCGGTCCCCACGCACTTACAGCTGCATGACCAGGTAGTAGTGAGTGGCGCTCTCATAGATGTCCTCCAAGGTCACAATGTTCTCATGCTTGATCCTGAGGAAGAGAAGGGTCACCGTGAACAACACACGGTTCACGTGGTCCAGACAGAGAGCGCAGACTAGCCTAGACGGACTTTGGTTTCTTTCTTTCAGAGGCTTTTGAGGCAATGTTTAGGAAGACAGGGTCCTTGTGAAGCAGTAACAAAGGAATTCCAGAGAAAAGATTCCCAGCGTGGCGTTCAATTTGTATTTTTGAATGGGTAACTGATGCTCCTGACTTCAGGGAACAAACACCTCACTGCTACTCCAGGAATCTCTTTAAACTTTACCGAGACAGAAAGCTAAAAGAACTGAGGGAAGCTGAGGGATCTTTGATCATTAGTTTGTTCTACAAAATGGGTCTCCAGGTCTCCTTCAGAAACATCCCATCAAGTGTGATCCCTCAACAGTTGGGATGTAGGTTAGCTAAGCCTCCTCATGGATAACCTGGGAGGAAGCATTGCAAGATGATTGTTCCAGGATATTGTGAGTAAGACAGATGCTCATTTTGAGGGTCAGTTCCGTGGGATGCCGTAGATGCGGTTCTCAGCCTGGGGCTCTTTTGTTCCTCAGGGAGTCTTTGACAGTATCTGCTGACATTTTTGTCACAATTGGGGGCGGGGGATGTGTTCCTGGCATTCAGTAGGTAGAGACACGAATGTTGCTAAGCACCCTGCAATGCTTAGGAGAGCCCTCAACACAACAGAGAATTAACTGGTCCAAAATGTCAGTAACACCTAGGCCAAGAAACCCTGGCCCAGACTACCTTTGTCTGGGATTACTCAGAGGCTGAGTCAAGCAGAATAACCATATCAGTTGAGGGGTTGGTTTGCAAGCACCAATTCTGTGCATGCCCATCTAGGAGGAAAGTCTCTACCCAGGGGAAGAGGTAGTTTTACCCAGGGCTGTGCAGTACAAGGATTAACTTCAACTTGGAGACAACTGGACCTGAGTTCAGGTCCATTTGCTACTTGGGTAATCTTGGCTGGTTTACCTTTCAAACCTTGCTTTCCTTGTCTATAAAGTATATCTCTTCCATAGAATTATATCAGGATGAAAAGCGGTAAGACATGTACAATGCTTAGTACAGTGCTTGGGGAATAGTAAACACATAATCAAGAGTAGCTAGCATCTTGAAGATATTAAAAAAAATACAGACTCCATGCAGCGACTGTCTGATGGATTCATCTAAATTTATAAGCTGATGATGCTAACAGTAATTTATCGATGATTTACTCACTGAACAAATATTTATTGAATATCTATGCTGCTAGGGACTGGTGATACAATGTAATGATAAGAAGGACCAATGAGCCTATAGTCTCTCTCTGCCCTAATCTCCTGGAGCCCAGACCAACTCTTCTACCAGACACTGCTATATAGAGATAGCTGGGTATTTATTCAATATATATAGAGGTAGGTGGATATTTATATTCAGTATATTGCAACCAATTTCTATTTCATCTCGGCCTACACATCCTTTTTATTTGCTGTCCTAAGCAATGAACGATATGACTGTCCATAGAACAGCTGAGTCTCAGGGTCTTTTTAATGCTTTTTTTTGTTTATACTCCTACCAACCACCTCTCTCTCTGAAATATCTCTTGAACTCAGTCTTCCTGCCACCACGTGATCTTGCCACCACCTTTGGTCCTCATCCCTTGCCTCAGTTATTGAGAAAGTTTAGCAGTTGGTCTTCTGTCCTCTAGGCTGGCATCCTCCAATCCATCTACCACCATGCTTAAGAGGGAATGACTCTAAAATATAAACACATCATGGAAATTTTGCCTTAAAACCCCTTGATGAATAAAGTCAGTATTTTTTATCATGGCATCCAACACCCTTTATTATCAGGTTCCCCTTCACCATTTTAGTTACATCTCCTGTCCCTTGACGGGACTCACTCTCAGTTCAGGGGCTTCCAATTCTAACTCTCCCCTGGTGTCCCTTGCCCTTCCATGATTCCATTAATAGTTATGCTACACTTTACCTGACTTCTCTTTCTGTACTTCCCTTCCTGCCTCCATAGAATTCTACTCATCCATCAAGGTCTGTCCTCTTTGAAAATGTACCTAAAATCCATACTCATGAAGACACACATACAGGCAACATGAATCTCTCTCTTCTACACTCTGTCTTTTGCTAGTGTGGCTCACAACCAATGGGACTGGCATTTGTTACAGGCACCCCTGTCTCTGCTAACAAAGATATGAGTTCCTGAGGATAAAGAGTTTTTTTGACTTCATCTTTGTGGTCCTGATTCCTAGTCACTTTTGGATTACTGTAGGGGCTCTATAGGGGTCTGGTTTATGAGTCCTGTTGTAAACATTTGATGCTTTGTTAGTGTTGTCTCCATTGTGATAGTTGGAATGCTGAACCTACATTTGAGTTAGAGAAATTGAAGCTCATTTCCAAATCTTGTACTATTTCCTTAATTATTAATTCTTCCTGGTGTTGACTTTCAATTGATTTTTGGTCCTTTGAGCTAATTACTTTGTGGTCCATGTGCACAAACCAGCTTGGCTCTCAGTTGAACACTAATTGATCTGATGAAAAAAAAAACCAACCAAGACAGCTGTCTGGCTGGTATAGCTGACGGATCAAACTGACTCATCAGCTCAAGCAAAGGGAGTGATAATTTTGGGGGTGGAAGTCCCGCCTCAGTCTCTCTCAAAGGTAATTTGGGAAGGAAAGGTTGTGATCCCTTGGTTGTCCTTGACCAACACTAAGACCCACTCACTTTTTCAGCACAGCGATCTCATTCTCCAGGCTGCTGTCCCGGAAGGCAGGTGACTTTTTGATGCACTTCAGGGCAAAGAGCTTCCCAGTTACCCTTTGTTTCACCAGGAAGACTTCCGAGAAAGCTCCTCTGAGTAGAAAACACCAAGAGATAAACATTAGTACTGGCAGGCTAGGGAACATTGCTGGAGACAAAAGCAAAGGGCAGATGAAAGAAGGTGTGGCTGGTAACTTGTTTCATTGTCATCGTGGGCACCCTGGCGGATCCTGTCTGACATGCCATTGTATTCTTTGACTCAGGGGCTAGGAGGCTGGTTGCTCTTGCCCAGTTCCACGATTTTGGAATGATTCTCAGAAACTCTGCTTTAGGTCTGGAAATTGCTCCTCTTGGCAAACCCATTAAGGAGAGGTCACTGCCGATCTTAGTGAGGCAGCATATGACAGATCCTGTCAAGAAGAGCCCAACTATACGCTTATAACTCTGGCTGCTGTCTCTGAGAGACTGAAGCTTGGTGGTTCCCTGGGCAGGGCAGCCCTTCGGGAGCTCCTTAGTAAAGGACTCACTAGGCTGCTTTCAAAGCACAGAGCTCAAGTAATTTATACCAGAAACACCAAGGGTGGAGACACTCCGGCTGCCGGTGAAGATGCATGGACAAGTGCCACAAGTGTGCATTCTGAGAAAACTTAACTAAATAAAAAAAAAGAGAGGTTACCACAGAGTCATTCACTTGTCTTCTCCTAACATGGTGTGGGCTTTCTTGATAGTTGGACAAGACTCATGAGAGTCCCTTGGACTCCAAGGAGATCCCACCAGCCCATCCTAAAGGAGATCAGTCCTGAATATTCATTAGAAGGACTGACGGCGAAGCTGAAACTCCAACAACTTGGTCACCTGATGCGAAGAACTGACTCATTTGAAAAGACCCTGATGCTGGGAAGGATTGAAGGCAGGAGGAGAAGGGGACGACAGAGATGGTTGGATGGCATCACTGACTCAATGGACATGAGTTTGAGTAAACTCCGGGAGCTGGTGATGGACAGGGAGGCCTGGCATGCTGCAGTCCATGGGATTGCAAAGAGTTGGATATGACTGAATGACTGAACTGAACTAAATTGAAAGAATCTGCCTGCAATGTAGGAGATCCCAATTCAATTCCTGGGTCAGGAAGGTCCACTAGAGAAGGGATAGGCTACCCACTCCAGTATTCTTGGGCTTCTCTTGTGGCTCAACAGGTAGAGAAATTCGCCTGCAATGTGGGAGACCTGGGTTCACTCCCTGGGTTGGGAAGATCCCTGGAGAAGGAAAAGGCTACCCACTCCAATATTCTGGTCTAGAGAATTCCACAGACTGTATAGTCCATGGGGTCACAAAGAGTCGGACATGACTGAGTGACTTTCACTTTCAACATGGTGTGGTCACTGCTTGGCAGTGAGAAGTAGCACTGAGAGATGGGGCTCTAACATGAGGGAGAAAAGACTCCTCTATCAGTTGTAGACGGCGATGACTACTGTGACCCAACCGTCAGCAGAAAGGGGCTGAGCATCCCTCGCTCCGTGGTATCTGTGAGGACAAAGAGTAGAGCCCGGCCGCTCCGGGCAGGCTGTCTGAAGGTGAGGAGGCTGGAACCCAGTGAGGACACAGGGTTGGACTCCAGACTGCAGGCTCCTTGGTTTAAGGGCAGCATGGTGGGCGGAGTGGGGGGTCCTCTAAAGGCAAGGCCATAACAACATTCAGTGAACAGTGGATGCTGGAGCCTGATGTTAGAACCTCAGATTTTGGGTAACAAGTCATATACCCAGTTTCTTCATCTGAAAAGTGAGAATGTCAATAGTATCTGATTCATAGGGATGTTGAGAAGAGTATGTGAGTTAGTATGCGTAAAGTGCATGCAAGTGTAACCTGACATCTAGTTAACTACATGTGTAAAGTACTATTACTGTTAGAAGTACAGTTTTAGGGGGAACACAGGCTAGTAACAAGAGGAGACAGAGTTTAGGTGAGGAAGTAGCTGAACCATCCTCTCCCCTGCCATCTGGGGACTCCAGCATGGAGGCCAAGTGGCAATCCAGCTTCTGTAAGGACGTCCAGAATCGGCATTAGAAACGCTTGGTGTTTTGCATGCCTGTTTCCTGTTTCCCCCAGCTGCACATGGAACTGAGTTAATTAGAGCCTTCAGAGCTTGCTCTATTCATTCATTCATTCACTCATCCCTCCAATCAAGATTTATTGAGCACCTACTGAGTCTTAGACACTAGAGATAAAAACAAAGGTTTTTATTCTCCTCTTAAGCAGCCTGTAAATTAGTGAAGAGCCCAGACAAACGGGCAATTAGCATTCACTTTGAAAAATGTTACTAGGCTTTCCATGAATGCTGGTTGAGCTGACAGAACCTCTCTGTATCAGGCCCTGGGATGAGTATTGGTCTGGCTTAGAATCTAGTGTGAGAAATAACACACAGACAGATACGCAGGAAGTGCTATGACCCCACAGGAAACAGACACTTAAGAGAGGGCCTTGGCTGTGCTTGGGAGGGTGGGTCACATACTGCGCAACCCCAGCAGAGGCCGTCACCTCAGAGCCACTGTATCCTTTCATACAATAATTATGATAACATTTTTGCTCCGGACAGCAAGCTAGAGAAAAGGGCTCCCCCCACCCCCAATGTGTACAAAGCAACCTCTTGCGTCGGCTGAGAAGCACATCATCTGTGGCCCTCTGACTTAAGAACATGCCGAGCTCAGTCTTCAGGGCTCAGTGAGGGTGAGCCCAGAGCAAAATCAAGTTGGAAGTGATGCTTCAGGTGGGGGTGGGAAGAAGCAGGATTAAAAGGCCTGCAAGTGCAGAGCAGCAGGGAGGGGTGGGGCCGCTGGAGGGTGGTCCAGCCCCATCTGTGATGGATGAGGCAGAGAATGAGGGGAGATGGATGTGGAGGGATGCCAGGTCCTATGCCTGGCTCTGGGTGGAAAATGCTCATGTGTTTGTGTGATGGACAGATGGAGGGAGGGAGGTTGGATGGGTGAATGGACAGGAAGTTTGGACTGGGATTATCACTGCCTTCTACTCATCGTAAGACCTTGCTTTCCTTATTGTAAAAGGAGAGTTGAACCACATGGCCTTAAAGATTCCTTCCACCTGTGATGGTCTCAGGTTTGCCTTCAGATTTCTCCTTTTTGCCTGTATCTTTGGAACCACACGAGGATGGTTCTCTGATTTCAAAGCTGACACCCTCTCTGAGTCCACTTGGAAAATGAGATCAAACTAAAACCTTCCTGGGGGATCTATCCTGCAGTGGGTGGCATCTCCTAGGGTTGTGCAATGTTGTGGTAGTTATTGCTCTTTCTGCTCAGGCTGCTTTATGCATGGTGTGTGTGTGTGTGTGTCTGTGTGTGTGTCTGTGTGTGTGTGGCAAGGGATCAGAAGACTTAATTGTGCCATCTGCCGGACGGGGGAGCAGGGAGCTAGTTTTGAGAGGCCAAGGTTGCTTGGGTCAGAAGGCAAGACGGGCCGAGCTTTGAGCTAAGAGCATTTGCTGTGATAGAACTTGATTTGCGTTTCCTGCTCTGAACAGTTTTCTGCTCTTGCTGGGAGTCTGGGTGTTAGAAAAGGAAGGGAGGAACCAAGAAGAAAAATTTCCTCCTGGGCCATGAAAAAAGGAGGCCTGGCCCTCGAAGACATATCCTCTGTAATGGATGAGTTTTGCCAAGTGTCCCTACAGCTGTCGAGGGCCCTGGAACTTTGGGTGATGTCTGGGCAGATTTCACAAAAGCCTCTTTTCCCTGATGGGTGGTTCCAGGGGAGCTGAGGACTAGGGGGAAGGCGCCTTCATCATGAGATCCTGGTGCTTCCTGAACAGGGGAAGTCGGCGCTGCCCAGCTGCCCCTCTGACATCACCCGACCTGGGAATTGCCACGGGGTCTGCAGCCTGGGGCTGCCTGTCCCCATCCCGAGCACCGCAGAGGCGTCTTCTCCTGACCTTCTGTTCAGCCTTAGCTGCTGCGACAGCTGTGACTTGCCCCGTCTTGTCTGTCTGCTCCCCTCATGTTAGTGCTGGGCTGGGTACATCAGAGCCACCAACAACACAAAATACAGATGACTGGCCACCGGGTCCTGGCCCTTTAAATTCCAGTTTAGTATTCTGAGACCAGGAAGCTGTATTTTTCAAAAACCCCGTAGATTGAAATGATGCTAGGAAATTATTCATTTTCTTGACTGTGACAGTGATACTGTGGATATAGGAGAAAATGCCTTCATTGTTAGGCGGTGCAGACAGAAGGATTCAGAGGTGATGTGTCGTGATGTATGCAACTTGTTTACAAATCGTTCAGTGAAGTGTGTGTGTGTAAAGCAAATATAGTGAAACGTTAACAGTTATTGGACTTAGGTATAGCAGAGTTCACTGTACTACTATTTCCCTTTTACTTAACATCTTCATAGTTAAAAGTTAGAGGCATAATAAGCTCCCCAGGAGGCTCCCATGTCCCCTGAGGTTTAGAAGCTGCTTGGCAGACCTCACTGAGCTCCTTGAGGGTGGCCCGCCTCTGCCTCCGAGCTCCTGTAGCCCGAGTCTGAGCAGACAGTGAGTACACTCTTGTCAACCTGGGCTTCTTTCCCCCTCTTTCTCTGGGTTTTTGGGATGCTTAGCAAAGCATTTTTGATTCACTCATGAGTTGTCTTTCCTGCCCAAACGCCCCTGCTAACCACCCCTGCCTTGGCAAAGGCCTTTCATGGAGAGCGGATGCTCTGAGGCCTGGGGTGGCCACTGAGACCCTCCTGTGTGCTGAGTGCCTCCCCTGCCTGGGGTGGGAGGGCCCAGGAGTCTTCTCTCAGGGTTGATCCGGCTCCTCTCTGGTTTCAGAGACTGTGTGGGCAGCATCATTGCCTGAGGTCACTGCCTCCTAGCCAGGCGGAGGGAGCTAAACTTAGCCAGAGTTGGCTCAAAGGAAAGCTGGCTTGCGTGGACAGCCCACGAAGGGCCCCTTGCATCCCTGGCCCAATTAGCCCAGGCTAATTAGCTGACCAGCAGGAGTTCGGAGGCCATGGGAGCCGGTGGCCTGGAGCTGCTGCCAGCCTGCGTCAGAGGCTGGGGCCTCCTGGAGGTGAGGCAGGACTAAGTGGAGAGTCAGCCCCAGACAGGCGGTCTCTGCTCCCCCAGGCATACATTCGCTGTCAAGGGGCAGGCACAGACACCCCAGAGGCGGGTAGGAGCTTGCTTATAACCTGACTTTATTTTTCCAACATGGTGCTTCAGTATGCAGCCGAGAAGGTGGTGGTGGTGGCGGTTGTCCATGTGTGCTCAGCCCTGTCCGACTCTTTGCGACCCCATGGACTGTAGCCCGCCAGGCTCCTCTGTCCCCGGGATTCTCCAGGCAAGAATACTGGAGTGGGTTGTCATGCCCTCCTCCAGGGGATCTTCCCAATCCAGGGATCGAACCCAGCAGACGGATTCTTTACTGTCTGAGCCACCAGGAAAGTCCAAGAATACTGGAGTGGGCAGCCTATCCCTTCTCCAGGGGAATCTTCCTGACCCCGGAGTCGAACTGGGGTCTCCTGCATTGCAGGCGGATTCTTTATGAGCTGAGCTACCAGGGAAGCCCCAGAAGATGGTGATGGTGGGAGGCAATTCAGGTGTGTGTAACCCATTGGCTTCCAAGCCTCAGAAGCACCACCTTCTGTTGACAGCAGACAGTGGGTTTGACCTGTTCACTGGGGTGGGGAGTGGAATGAGGAAGCCAGGGGAGGAGGCCCAGGAAGGTTCAGGTCACAGGATCCCTGGAAGTGCTCCAGAACTCCTCTTCCCTGCAACCAGGGCAGGACTCACACGTTGTTATGGATCTAGAAGCAGGGCAGGGGTCTCGGGGGTGAGAAGGCAGAACCTTGGGGAGAGGGCTGAACTGAGTCTGTATCACCCCAGGTGCCTTTCCCTGAATTCCCCCTTGAAGCCCCTCCTCTGCTCCTGCGACCTGTTGAGACAGTGTATCATCTGCTGCTGGCCCAGGACAGCTGTCTCCAACCACCGCCCCCCACTCAGCAGGCAGCCCCCGCCCCCCACTCAGCAGGCAGCCCCGCTGCCCCAGCCTTGGCCCCAGGACTCACGAGCCCAGCACTTCCATGAAGATGAAGGTTTTCCGGATGTTGGTGGTCTGTTTCTTCCAGGAACTGCAGTCATCTTCTTCCTTTCGACCCATCGCCTCCAGAGTTGAAGCTTCTGGGGATGCTTGGTTTGAGGAAGGGAAGAAAGAGTCTGATCAGCTAATTTCTCCAATAGGATGACAGCAAGTTGTAAAAGGATCTATAACACTCACAACCTTCATGTAACAACTAGGAGTAAGGATGGAGAGCAAAATCCGGATAACTGGCAAAAATAAGTTACATTACCATGACAGATTTTATTGACAGTCCACTACATGCCCATTGGGCTTGTCCCATGCTCACAGGGTTTAGACTCTAGTAATGGAAACTCCCCCTTGTACGAATGTCTTTAAGGACAATAACACATTTATGAATAGATTAACATGGGACTATCCACCTTGATGGGGCTTCCCTGGTGGCTCAGAGGGTAAAGCGTCTGCCTGCAATGTGGGAGACCTGGGTTTGATCCCTGGGTTGGGAAGGTCCCCTGGAAAAGGAAATGGCAACCCACTCCAGTGTTCTTGACTGGAGAATCCCATGGACAGAGGAGACTGGTGGGCTTCAGTCCACGGGGTCGCAAAGAGTTGGACACGACTGAGCGACTTCACTTTCTTTCTTTCTACCCACCTTGAAGGGATCTGAACTGTTTATAAAACTAGCGCTTCCCAGCTGGCTTGGACAGTGAAGAATCTGCCTGCAACGCTGGAGACCCAGGTTTGATCCCGAGGTGGGGAAGATCCCATGGAGAAGGAAATGACAGCCCAAAGTTTTTTTTATTGATTCAGACTACCGAGTCAGCCGGACTTCTCTCTATTATCACAGCTTGGCTGCCTCCTCCAATCATTACTATTCTTAACTTCTCTCCTACTATTCTGAGTTAAGTGAATGAATAGTAGATGAATGAGCATTGTGTTGTTTCCTTTGCAACGCCCACAGCATTTAGCACAGTGCTGTAAAAATAGTTCCTCATTAAAATCTGAATGGAAATGTGCCCCGAGTTTATATTAGGCTTCTCTCAATATTAAATACAGTATTTATTCAACGGTCAGCACCTACGATGTGCCAGGGGCTGTATGCACCCTATCTGATTCCCCCTAAATAGTACCTTTGGTAAACACTCTTCATCCATCAGTGTGTGTCTTTTTTTTTCCTGATTGATGTAATAAGAACTGGAGAACCAGAGAAGTGGTCTTAGATCCTAGTGCAGTAGATAGAGCAGATCTCAAATCTTTTATAAGGATGATTCAGGATGTATCTGAAGACCAGATCATCTAGCCAAGATTATAGGGCTAATGATTTGCATTCTAGATTTCTTATTCAAGATTAGGAACAGAAGCTATGTATCCTCTACTGTATTACACTGCATTCTAGCCTCCTGACGCCTAGTTCTATGGTCTTTTTAGTGTTTTTTAATACGTTTCTAGACAAATGGGTTCCTGTTACATTTCACTGCAAGGTAACATTGCTTATGGTACTCAGGGTATAACCCAGTGGTCAGATGAAGAATGTAGGTGATTGCCCTAGCTTTCAAAGGGCCAGAAAGACTGGAGAAGTCAGGAACCAAGCAAGTGAGCTAATATGTACACAGTGACAAAGCCTGGGTAAACCATGAAAGAACAGAACCTGAGCTTGTTACAGAGACAATCAGGTCTCCCTGGTCTTCTTTAGGGGAAGGTCAGGGAGGACTCATGTCATAAAGTAGCTTCTAGGTTCTTTTCTGCCTTTAAGTCATACCTGGGAGGCCTAAGACCCTGGAAATCAGAAGAATGTGACCAAGTGTGGTCCTTGCTAGGAGGAAGAGGCGTGGAAAGACTGACAATTCTGGCCCAAGTGGATCCTGAGAAGGAGATGGGGAGACAGATGGTGTAGTTGGCAGAAGTATACATTTTGGTTTTTAACCCTCTTGGAGTAAGCACCCATCCAGGAACAGAGGAGATCAAGGAACGTGGATGGGTGGGCTCCCCAGGACGCTGATGGTGGGAGACTGTAAGCCTAGGAGGAACTCTGACTGCAACCGCATTGAACAGTCACCTCTGGGCAGGCCTAGAGGTGGGTGGTAAAACAGTGTCACATGGCCTGCAGGGACTCCAGAAGCTCCCCAGGGCCCGAGGGGGCTGCAGCTGGCTTGGACAAGCTCGTGATGTCTAACCGTGCTCCATGCTTGGTGGCCCCATGCTGTTAGCATGGAATCAGCCACCATGGGAGTATTGACTCCATGGAAACAGGCAAATGCTACCAACAGGGCTTCTCTTCCCCTCCTTCCCTCAGCCCCCAAGAACCAGACGGTAAACATCTACCAGCTCACCTCTGCCCACGGCCCTGGAGAGGGGATATATAACTACCAGAGTGTCTGTCAACCAGAGTCCAGAAGAGACTGCTATAATCAGGGCTTCTTGGATGGAAGCAAATGTCTGCGATCAGGGCTTTAGTGGAAGGTGTCAGCATGACACCCTGGGGGCCAGATGGAGCCAGGTGCATGGCAGAGGTCACTGGGCAGCCTCTGGCGAGATCCCCAGGAGCTGGGGTCCGAGGCCCCTGATAAGTCTGGGGCCCCCTTCTCCCTGCCACTAACCTTAAACATCGAAGGCCACCTTGAAATAGAACAGGAGGAAAGGTCATCTCAAGGCTGTGTGTTTTCTTCAAAGACACTGGATCAGCTAAATGAGACACTTTATTAAACATGAGGTCATATGTTTATGGACAAGGTTATAATGGACAAGGTCAAATGTAAAGTTTTCCTTTTTGCTGTCTGGTAAGGCCTCCTCAAGTGAAGAGTTGACTCACTGGAAAAGACCCTGATGCTGGGAGGGATTGGGGGCAGGAGAAGGGGACGACAGAGGATGAGATGACTGGATGGCATCACCGACTCGATGGACATGAGTTTGAGTAAACTCCGGGAGTTGGTGATGGACAGGGAGGCCTGGCGTGCTGCGATTCATGGGGTTGCAAAGAGTCAGACACGACTGAGCGACTGAATTGAACTGAACTGAACTGAAGGCTGGAGTTCATGGGGAAGGCTTTATAGGAATTAAAGAAGCTACATTTCCTTTGTACATTTCAGTCTAGTGTGTAAATGTGCAACTTGGCTTTATAATGCATGCTAAGTCACTTTAGTCTTGTCTGACTCTGTGCAACCCTATGGACTGTAGCCGACCAGGCTCCTCTGTCTGTGGGATTCTCCAGGCAAGAATGCTGGAGTGGGTTGCCATGCCCTTCTCCACCCAGGATTGAACCCATGTCTCTTACGTCACCTCCCTTGGCAGATGGGTTCTTTACCACTAGGCTCTTATTATGAAAGACACATGTTCAATGATCGGCATTCTTTAGCATTGGGTCCAGCCACATGTAGACCTGGTGTACTCCTCCTTCACATCTCTAGGCCCATTGGTTGATTTGTTCCTTTCGGCAGGATGGCAGCCCAGAAGGACCACAGCAGCTGAGGGTCCAGGCACGGGCCAGCGGAGGACCCACCAACAATGTGATGGGCTGATCTTGAACGTTGAGAGCACAGTCTCTAAGGTGGAGACAAATGAACTCTGACTGGCAGAGACTGCTTTGGGGAAGATGGAATATTAGAATAGAGGGCTATCTTTAGCGAGGTACTATTCTGCAGATTCTTAGCCCCAGATCTAGCAGCTTCCACTTATCAGAGTTATTGGCAGCTGGACTTGGATCAAATGCATCTTACTGTCTAAACACACAACAGCTGAGAAGTCGTGAAGGCTGTAGGGGATGAGGGTCAAGGCTTGGATCTTAAAAGGAGCCAATTAAGAGCATTAGTTTGTGAGACTCCCTCTGTGTCTCCCCCTCCATAGAACAACAAGCCTGCAGACACTTGGCCCTTTTCCAAGTAAGGAGCCAACCAAGAGCCTTCTTTCCAGTGTACGCCCACCGACGGGGCGGGCATCACTCCCCTTTCTGGAGCCCCTAGGATTGATGGTCTCACTCTCCAGGAGGCATCACCACCTCATTAGCAGCTCTGTACTCACTGTTCCTTCTTTCCCATTGCTCTTAAATAGCTTAAAAAACAGAGTATTCTTAGTCTAAGCTCAGTTATAGGAAAACATCTTTCCCGCCCACCCCTCCTCCCATACACTCCATCCTAACAATTCAGTTCCATCTTCCAAGCCACGTGGAAAGCTCAGGGCCCCGTTTGAAACCCCACTTCAGTCCCACTTCATTCCCTCCTTGACCTTGGAGAAACTTCAGGACCTTGCTGCCCCTGTGCCCTGGGGGCCTGACTGTGGACTCTGAGCTGGGGCTTGCTTCTCTGACTGAAAATCCTCCCCCTCCTCTCTCGACTTCTGTAATTGAGGCCCTTTCAGTGGAGGAAAAAAAAAAAAGAAAGAAAAACAAATTCTGAGGAGGTTGAAACTCCAATATTGTTTTCACTTAGTTCTAAAGTGATACCCGCAGGGCAATGCCTGGCTCCCAGTTCCTGCTCCGTTGTGTGGTCTCCCGCAAGACCGATGGCCTTCCTGATCTCTTGAGAGAAACTTGCATAGCTGCAGGTGCGGGGACGGGAGGAGGCCAGGAAGACCACGGATGGAAAAGTTCTTCCTGAAGGACAGGCTGCACAGCCTTCGGGTGGGCGCTGCCCCTGATCGTGACCCTTTCTGAGCTTCTGGGAATGGGCTGGTGGCATCCAGCCTGGCTATTTATGAGATGCTGGTGAGAGATGCTCAGGCTGTGAGCCTGGGGGGCAGGCATGCTTCACATACTTCTTCCACGGAACATTGCTGTCCTTCTCTCCTTCCCAGGCTCCATCTGGTCACAGGGGGTGGGGGTGGGGGGGCAGGCAGTACTAGCCCCAGACAGAACTTGAAGGCAGAGGAAGCTTATCTTCAGGGCCCTCACCATTGTCATCACCATATCCCAAAGGGATCAAGCCACCTCCTGACCCCACCTGCCCTGGGCCCTCTCTCCCTGGACCCTGCCTGCCCTGATCCGCATGGCTTCCTTAGCCAAAGTTTTCTATTTTGGGTCATAGCCTCTTAAGACTCTGCTCTGAGGTGCTTAAAAAAAAAAAAAAGAATCAGCAGGGCTAATTGCTTCAGAGTGTCACTCCACCTGATCGAATGTCCCCAAATCTCAGGGGCACCACGTTTGAATCCAGAGGAATTCAATTCAATGCAGTCCAAATATATATCTCCCAAACCCATAGTAGGTTTCTAAGCTGGATGCGAGTAAACTGGGGGAGATGGACAGAGGGAAGGGGAGAATCTTGGAGCAGCAGGTCTGCCGCCTAAACCCACAGACGACGGCTCTCAACTCTGTCTATGCGAAGTGCCTTCCCCAGGGTCTCACCTGAGGCTTCTGAGTGAGGAGGTGTGGATGACTCGAGGGGCATGCTAGGCAGGCCTCAGAGCCTTCCTGTGGGGCCAGGTGTGGCTCTTTCACAGACCCCAGAGGGATCAGCCCATCCTAAGACAGCTTCTGGAATTTTCCACTCCCTGAGAGCATGACTCAGAAAGGGCCATGGGTCTTGGGAGGGGGGTTATCAGTTGGCTCATCTTTCATAAGAATGTACACTCTGTCTCCAGGCTGGGGCACACAGAACCAGAGGAATATATACATTGTCTAGCCATAAAGGGGCTAAAAGACCAACGCTGGGACAGTTTCTGGCCCAGGCCCCACGTTTTCCTGGACTGAATTGCACTTCTCATCATCCTCTGGACTGGGAAGTGCGCTGGAAAGAGGTCAAGTTCTGGCTCCAGTCTTGGCTTGGCTGTGAGCTGTGCAGCCCCAGGCAGAGTCATGTACATCTCTGGGCTTTCCCCTTTTCCTTAGTAGAAACAGGAAAATGGACTAGATTGGGGTTCCTTGGCATTTGTTTATTTTTTAGAAATGTTTGTCCCAGGAGACTCTGCAATTAAAATGGATTTGCCATCCACCACTTCTTGGAGAGTCAAGATCCGTGTTAGCTTATTAAGGGCTCTGAGAGTTTTAAAGACACCTGTTTCATGTTCTGTAAGTTGGTGTCTCTCAACTTTACTAGACTGTAATTGTAAATTCTTTCCTTATGCAACTCCTACAAGCATCCAGAAGATCTAGACTTGCTCAGAGCCTGCTGGGGAAAGTGGAGACTGGGCCAGCTCTGATGCTCTGTGATTGCATACTTGAGCAATATATGATATTTCCAGCAGCCTGCTGTCATCACTCACATCCCTGCTCTTCTCCTGGTGCGCAGGCACGTGGGCCGGCCTTGTGCGTGCTGTCAGAACCCATCTCTGACCATGGGCTGCAGCTCAAGTGGCTGGTCCGCTTGCCTGGGCCTGTGCCCTCGACCCGAAAGGCCCCTGGACACTTCTTGATAGACAGACCCTCCCAGGAACATCAGCTGCCTCCCCAACCCTTCCCCTAATCTGGCGCCTCCAAAGCCAACTCTGCACGCCAGCTTCTGTCCCCCACCCCAGTCACTGAGGAAGGTTGTTTTTCAATTGCCTCCTACAGTTTACTTCACTCTCAAACCCACATTTAAGTTTAATCAAACCCTGCCGCACTGACAAGCCAGAATTCACAATCTGCTTAAGGCTTATTGTGTGCCTCTTGTTGAGGAAATAAAGAGGAAATAAGGGGTTTGGTTGGCGGCTGAGGGGTCGACATATGAGTCACTGGAGAGAGCTGGGCGTGTTCCTTATTCTTCATGTGTTCGGTTTCCTCCTCTGCTGAATGGGACTAATAATCCCCGCTGTCTCTATTTCCCAGAATTCCTGTGGGTGTCCAATACATCAATGGGCACAAAAGCATGCTGCAGCCTCTCAAGCCGTGAGCCCGCTTTACAAGCAAGTGGATGGATCGCTGGGGATAGGGGGAGAGGGGACACAATTTAAATAGGGGTGAGCACACGGCAGGAGACGTGAGTCTGCTGTTTCCTCAGCGGGTCTCAGCTCCCACGTGCCTCTCAACTGTGACCCCTTCTCGCTGTGATTCTAAAGTGCCTGAGGACACATAACGCTTCATACGTCATGGTCCTGAAATGCAGACCAAAACGATTTTATCTGCTACACTCCCCAAAAGAGATCTACTGGAGTACAGAGGGAGCGCTGCCCGAGTTGGGTTTCTCCGTGGGCTGATCTCCATCGGGGCACCTAGTTCTGAGCTGTGTTCAAGGGTCTCATTATTTTTTTAATTAATTAATTAATTTTGATTGGCAGATAATTACTTTACAATATTGTGATGGTTTTTGCCATACATAACCAACATGAATCCGCCACAGGTATACACGTGTCCCCCCCATCCTGGACGCCCCCTCCCACCTCCCTCCCCACCCCATCCCTCTGGGTTGTCCCAGAGCACTGGCTTTGGGTGCCCTGCTTCTTGTACGGAGCTTGCACTGGTCATCCATTTTGCATACGGTAATATACAAGTTTCAATGCTATTCTCTCACATCATCCCACCTAGGCTTAACTGTGTGTCTGCCACACTTTGCCTTTAAGACCCTTTCCCACAAGGGAGGTGGGGGAGAGCGGGGGTGGGGGGCGGTGCGTCGTTGGTACCCAAGTGGGGCTCGCTGTACTGCGCCCCCGGGAGGTTGAGAGGAGGCATCGCGGGGAGTGGGAGCAGGAGGAAGGGCCGTCTTGAGCTCACTATGGCCGTGGGTTACACCACTGGAGAAGCTCTGAGCTATACCACGCTTCCCCTTCCCCACATCCTGCTCCGGGACACCGACAACCGTCCACAGCCCACCCCCCAACCCGATCGCTAGCTCGCATTCACGCAGGCGGCTGCCCGGCACCAGCCCCCTCGCCCTTGACCAGCGGTTGTAGCGCCGGCTCGAAGCCTGTTTGCAGACAGCCGCCCTCCCTCATTCATGCTGCAGCTCATTCACTCCGCTGCCTCTGGCAGGCTGCGGCTGGGCCTCAGGGCTTATTTATTTCTGGCCGCCTGTCTGTGTGTGAATGGGGGACCGGGAGCTAGGGAGGCGCCGTCCTCCTGAAGCGAGATGCATCTCAGTCGCCGCTGGGAATTGCACCCAGACCCTCAGGTGCTCGCTGCCGCAGACTGAACCCCTGGGCCATGCCTGTGCTGGGCGCTTTCCCTGCAATCTCTCTAATGTCTCTCAAGGTAGGGATCTTTAACCCCATTTTGCAGTGCAGGTACTGACAGGTGGAGATATTAAGAAAAATGACCTAAATCTAACACAGGAGGGGACAGAGCGGGGCACAAGCCCCAGCCCGTCAGACCCCCCACAGCGGTCTCCCTGTCCACCCCGCACCCCTCCCCACGTGGAACCTGTTGCCTCTTTCCTGGAGGTGGTTGTTGGGATTTCACTTACCTCCGACCTCATCCTCAGGGTGCTGTCCTGTAATCCCACCACCAGACTACCCCTGGAACACGGGGCTGACTCCCATGATCTGGGAAGCCCGGATCTCTCAGCTTTCTCAAATTTACGCCGAGGCTGGACATCTATCTAATGCCTAAGTGACTCCTGACTCCAGCTCAAACCTTTTCTCTCTCTAACCTTGAGCTTCTTTCCCAAAGTTTTGCCCTATCTTTCTAAAGAGTGCTCTTAATTCACATACAAACACCCACACCCACACCACAGCCATCTGTAGTGTAGTATCATGGAAAGGTCTCTGATTCTATCAGAAGATCTGGGTGCAAATGCCGCTGTCATCAAACGGATACGACCAGTATCCAGTTTTGCCTGGTGGAGCCTCAGAGGAAATGCGATTTGCCCCACCAACCCTACGGGCTTGTCTTAAAGATGATTAAAAGCACACTCACTGTCAACTGTGGTCCCCATATCAGGTATTACTAAGCGCTTTGTGCTATGGCCTGTGGGGTCTTGTCTTTGGTCCTAGATAAAGCTTCAGTCAAGTAGGACTGCCGGGGGTCGGACTGTCTCCAGCCTCTGATATACAAAGATGGTCTCCTTACCCAAGAGGGAACCCTCTTGACTCCCGTGACCCTTCTCAGAGATTTTCCTCTTCATCGGTTGATCTGATTCCAGAACAAGCAGCAGGCCAGCCATGCGGTGCTGCCAGGGCAGCGGTGAGAGAGCCCGGACAACTGCCTCCGGGAGCTTCAGGGTTAATGTTCGTGCGTCAAAGTTACGTGGAGAGAATGGGCCCCAGCGCGGATGGGGTGGTGGTGGTGAGTCCAGACCTCCTGTGACCACTGTGACCTGAGAACTGAACTAGGGAAGTTGCAAGACGGAGGGGGAGACAGACGCGCCCCCAGGGAAGGTGAGGGAGGAGCCGCGTGACTGACAGCGTGCCTGCGCTGGGTTCTGCATCCTAACGCAGCCGGGGACGGCCAGGACGGACTGAGGCTGGTCTGCCTTCCTTGGGTCTGTGAAGCCACAGGCTGTTTACTAACCTCCTTTTCCACCCCCGCACTGGCTCTCCTAATCCTCACAACAACCGAACAGGTAGGGAGGAGCAGCACAGGGCACTGCCCCATTTGACAGCTGGGTCAGAGGTTAAGAGATGCAGGCAGGGCAGTGAGGATGCTGGAACACCTGACACCCTGCACATGGCTGGCCCCTCCAGGCACAGAGCCGACAGGACTGTCCCTGGAATGCAGGCGGGCATGGCAGGTGAAGCGCATGCAAATATTTTGCTCCCCTTTCTCTGCCCAAAAGGGCAGAAGGTTTCCACTCAAACCAGCCCTGAAGTTATGGCCAGATGACTGCCCGCCCCCCACCCCCCACGAGATTCCCTCCCAGACCTCCATTCAGACTTTTCTTCCCAGGCAGCTACAACTTCCCTCTGACACCTCCAGAGTCAGGCAAGACAGGACCTGGGGCTGAAATAAACACCCAAGTTGCTTGCAAGAGTGGCTGTTCAAACCCACTCTCTTGGTTCCAGCTGCCTCCGGCCGAGGGAAGAAAGCTCCCCGGACCAAATAAAGAAGCAGGTTCATCTTACCCAGGGACTCCGAGAGAATGGTCCTCGCTGGTCCTCCCACTCCAGCTCCTACAGGTCTGGGAGTCTAAGCGGCTCCAGCGCTTCAACAATACACCGAATTAAAGGGGAGGAATGCAGAGGTTTTCTTCCCCAGGACCGTAACCAAGCAGCCTTAAAGGGGAGGAAAAGGAGCTAGGGCGGCTTGCATATCTCCTTCCTTTCCTCTGCCTTTCCTTCCCTCTGAGCAGATCCAGAAAAAAATCCTTTTGCCCAGGGCCCCTCTTACGCTGCATGTGTGATTGTGTTTGTGTTGACATGTGTGATGCAGAGAGGGGAAGAATCAAAGGCAAAACCAAAATGACAGAGATTGCCATTGGCCTGAATGGGGTGGTAACAGAAAATCAGAGACTGCCTGCCTCAGTGTCCCTCTTAACCGCTCAGCAGCCGGTGTATGTTTCCGATCGCTTCCTGAGCAATAAGACATCTATACTGGCTGCAGGTCCCCCGGGTCTCACAGAATGGGAGGAGAAGCACTTGGATGTCCCTCGCGGGGACACGGTGCTGGACGGGTTCACCCGATATTGGTGATGCCTCCGTTTCTAGAAGCAAAGCATTCCGATCCCCAAGTCTGCTGTCCTCTTTTCAGTCCTAACCTGTTGGCCCCCAAGGAGACCATTCCCCTCCTTCCAGAAACTCTAAGCTTTTAAATTGTGCCTTTCCAGTTTTTATCACTTGGGTTTTTTGAATAAACAACACATTCCTATAGGTCAGCAATCAGGATTCTATTGAAAGCCACACCTAAACGTGTCTCACCCCATCCACTCCCCGCCCACCCCGCCCTCTGCAAGCGGCCGCTTCGATTAGTTTCTCCTGTGTCTCCAGCGTTTCATGCAGATGCAAAGAAAAGAATATATATATTCCCTGCCCCCCTTTCTTATGTAAAAGGGGACATCTATTTTCATCTCTACAACCTTAATTCAGGTCCCCCTTCTCCTCTCTTGGGTACTGTTGTAATAACCTAGATTCTAATTGGCCCCTGGGTGAGGTAGTCCACTGGGATAGTTAAAAGAGGCTCTGGAGAAGGCTTCTGGGTTGGATGCCTGGGTTGTCTATTAACTGGGTGTGTGACCTTGGACAAGTGGCTTAACCTTTCTGTGCCTCAGTTTTCTCATCTGGTCAATGGATGATCACTGAACTTATTTCATGCACTAGTGGAGTGGAGCAAGGCAGAAGGCTTAGAACAATGACTGGCACTTAGTAGGTTGTCAGTAAGTGTGAGCTACCATTCTCTCTGCAACTTTAACTTTTGGTAGAATGATCCCCTCAAAAATATCCATTCCCTACAGAATAAAATCCAAACACCTTATCCCATCATTGCAGGCGTTACAGGATCTGGCACGATAGTACCCTGCCCCCCTCCACTCCCGAGTCCCTCTGTGCACCTAGCTGATGCTCCAGCCACATCATAGGAGACACTGATGTCTAACACACGGCTGATTTCCAGAGCTCCTGCCTTTGTTCTGCAGCTCTATCAGGGTAGAATGGCCTTTCTTCATTCTCAGCCTATGGAAATGCTATAGATTTTAAAAGCTTACATCAAATGCCATCTCATCCATGAACCCTTCTATGATTTCCTCACCTCCTTAGAAGGAATCACTCCTTTCTCTGTGGTGGTTCCCAAAACTTTTCATCTACCGCTCTCTTAATCTTTGTCTGCCTTGAATTCTAGTCTGTGTTTCCACTGCTGTCTCCCTTCTGGAACAGAGAGTTCTTAGCAGAGTGATTTTGCCTCTCTTCCTGCCCTTTTGACCTCGTTTCCCTAACCCTCCTGTGTCCCACACAGGGTAGGCACTGGTCCAATATTTAGTGATGAACCAGATAGGTTCCACCAGAAGTGGAAACGCTTTTGAGTCAAATAAGATAGGACTTCTCATGGTAGGTACACATGCCATTACTCAATAAATGCTAACTCATCAGTATTGGTCATGAGAATAATAGCGTATTATTGCTATGGGTCTAGCTTCTGCTTAGTGCTTAGGTTCTCTGGGTATAGCATCCCTGATGGGCAGCTCTCCTTTTCCTGCTTGGACACTGGAACCAGGGAGTTTATCACTGTATGAGTGAGTCATGTAAGTTCCATGAGCACCAAAGATGTTAGCAGCTCTGTCGGGAGCTGAATTCTGAAGTCTCCCCCAGCATGCACATACGTACACTCACTCCTTAAGTATTTATCAAGCACTGACTCTGTACTAGGGGTTGAAGATGGACGTCAGACTCAGAATCCACCCTCATAGAGCTTCTACCGTCCATACAGGAGCCCGTCAGTTCTGACTGTAACTCAGAACCCATTGCTCTGTGGTACAGGGTCCTTTGTATTCTGATGCCACTTTGAGTCGGGCAAGGACCTGTCTGTGAGCATCCGCTGGCCTTCTCCTGCCAGTCCCCTCCCATCTCCCTGCACGCTGCTGGCGCTGGCGAGCCACAGCGCTGGGACTGAGTTCTCAGCTGTGCAAACACAAGTAGGCTCAGCAGGTGTTAGACTGTGTGGGGCACAGTGTCACCTCTTTATGCCGAGTTCAGAAGGCAGGTACTGATTGGGTCACACGCCAGACATTAGAGGTCAGAGCGGGGACAGAACATCCCACTGCTCTGGTACTGACAGAGGTGACTGAAAAATGTTTCCCAAGGAGGTGGAAGACAGCTTTGGGCCTGATAACACGTGCACACGTATGCACACACGCACATGTGCACATACACACCCATGCTTGCAGTTTGACCCCTTTTAGATTCTTGTAATGGCCTTATCACTATGTTTCCCCCAATCAGCAATTTAACAAAATGTTTACTAAACATAAACAAACACAGAGGACTGTAGAGCCTCTTGATGAAAGTGAAAGAGGAGAGTGAAAAAGTTGGCTTAAAGCTCAACATTCAGAAAACTAAGATCATGGCATCTGGTCCCGTCACTTCATGGCAAATAGATGGGGAAACAGTGGAAACAGTGGCAGACTTTATTTTGGGGGGCTCCAGAATCCCTGCAGATGGTGACTGCGGCCATGAAATTAAAAGATGCTTACTCCTTGGAAGAAAAGTTATGACTAACCTAGATAGCATATTAATAAGCAGAGACATTACTTTGCCAACAAAGTCAGTCTAGTCAAGGCTATGGTTTTTCCAGTAGTCATATATGGATGTGAGAGTTGGACTATAAAGAAAGTTGAGCGCCAAAGAATTGATGCTTTTGAACTGTGGTGTTAGAGAAGACTCTTCAGAGTCGCTTGGACTGCAAGAAGATCCAACCAGTCCATCCTAAAGGGAATCAGTCCTGAATATTCATTGGGAGGACTGATGTTGAGGCTGAAACTCCAGTACTTTGGCCACCTGATGCAAAAAGCTGACTCATTTGAAAAGACCCTGATGCTGGGAAAGATTGAGGGCAGGAGGAGAAGGGGATGGCAGGGGATGAGATGGACTCAATGGACATGAGTTTGAGTAAACTCTGGGAGTTAGTGATGGACAGGGAGGCCTGGCATGCTGTAGTCCGTGGGGTTACAAAGAGTCAGACAAGACTGAGCGACTGAACTGAACTGGAAACAGAGAACAGTTGGAGATGAAGCCACAGCAGCTTGGATGCTGTTAACTCCCGCTGTCACCAGAGGTGCGGCCATGGGGAGCCAGCAGTGGGCTCGAGATGTCAGGGCAGGTTTCATGGAAAAGTTTCATGGGAGTCAGCCTGGGCATTAAGGATGAGTAGGGCCAGATCTGGGAGCTGTGGTGGGTGGGATGGGATTAGGAAAACACAGAGTTTGGAACGTACAAGACGCGGGCTGGAGATGACAACCTGCAGTGCAGCGGGCGATTAGCTTGGCTGGGCAGGGTGTTGAAACAGCGGGGGCTTTGGGCTTGCCCACCAAGGCAGCAGCTTCTGAAGCGAGGGTATTGGTGGGAGCCCAGTGGTGATGTACTTAATGCTGGGAGATCAGAGCCTGGAAAACCAGCAGAGAAGCTGTGTGGTCACCAAGACCTGAGGGAATGGGGCCAGAAGAGGGAGCAGGAGTGGGGAGGAGGAGGAGATGGCCTGAAGGGAGTGCCCTTGTCAGTCAGAGTGTCCTCTCACTGCACA